CCCCACTGTCTGCCTTCCACTTTGTTGTCCCTCCTTCCTTCTTCCTCTCCGATCTCCCCTCCCTTCTCTACTTCACCTTCCTCTCTCCTCCATGTCCTGAGCTCCGCGGCTATGGCCGCTACTTCGTCTTGGACCGCACAACCAATTTTACGTTGCTCCTCCCTCTATCTCTTCGGGACAATATCGTCAGCGCAGGTACGTGGTAAACCAATCTTCTATCGCTCAACTCTCTCTCTCTCTCTCTCTCTCTCTCTCTCTCTCTCTGTGTCTTCTTCGTCGTTGTCTTCCTTGCAGGTACGCGGCACCTTTTTTCGCAGCGAAGCTATGGCGGACTTGCTTCTTCAACGGCGCTCCTCAACTATGGTGCCCTACGACGTGTGTCTCTCTCCTGCTGCAACGGCAATGGCGCACGGGATAGCGGGTACGAGCTCCGATACCAGTGCAATCAAACTCACTTTCTTCTTCACTTCGCATGCATACAAACAGATGGTGATTCACACTGGCCCATAGCGCCCATCTCAAAGCTCAGAGATATGGAAACCAAGAACACAGTTCGGATGCAAACTCGCTTCAACAGGCTATGGTGCACCACCACCTATACATCCCAACTCTCGTCACTGTGTCCAACACCACTGTTCGCTCACACTTCAACTCTGGATCACCCTGGATATCCCACACGCAACCCACTGTACACTCGCACACTCGCACACGCCCCTCTCTCTCTCCTATCAGCTATGGCGGCTATGGCCGCTGCCTACCCTATCGCTATGGCTAAGCTTCCTTCTCGCCCACTTTGTCTTCGGGCCTACTGCAGACCACCTCGCACAAGTCGCTGTAGCAGCGCTTACGCATGACTTACACAGGAATGGATGAATGGCTGGGCGCTGCCTCTTGATTTATACTTCTGTAACTCGTTGGTCTGCCTCTTTCCATCGGCCCATGGTGCACACAGTCCCTCATGGTACTTGCTGGACTGGACTGGGACTGATTGGACCAGTACCGCTGACTGCATGAGTTTGCACTGCCAACTCGATGCAGTCGCACTGCCGACGTAACGCAGTTGGGCTCACCACTTGCCCACTTGCCTCTGACTAAAACGTGAGACCGCATCGAAAGGCCACTTCCGGAACTTTCGGAAGTTTGTGGACTTTGCATTTCGGGTACTGTAGCAGCTACGACCTTGACCTTTCAGGACTGTAGCAGCTACGGCCTTGACCTTTCAGAATACCTACGGCTACGACCTCTACAGAGCTGTGACCCCTACTCAACAGACCTAGAGATCGAATCCCTACATCTACACAGTCCTTATGACAGACAACCAACAACTAACGACACACAGGTCACGGGTTCAACACTCAGGGGTCAACTCGGTACTGTACATGGGTAAGGTAAGGTCTGGGAATCGAACCCTGGGATCTGCATCTGCCTCTGCAAAGGTGAAAACCATTTCAATGGGGGCGAGGTCCAACCTGCCTTCCTGAATTGTCTGCTCCGAATCCGAACCAAAGATTCCGATGATCAACGGCCAGATACGCAGACTGTCCCCGGACTCAATCGATATTGGAGGAAGATGAAACAGTGTTATCCTCTCTCTCTCTCTCTCCCTCTCCCTCTGTATTCTCGAGAGCACCACCTCACTGGCACGTCCTCTCAGACACATTAGGGAGAAGCATGACCTCCTGGCATGATGGGGAAACAATCATTTGAATGAGATCTGGCATTCATTTTATTTTGACTGATTTTTTAATCTTCAGGGGGAAAAAAAGGCTATATTGGGTCTCGCGCCACTACTCTCCTTTCTCCAAAATTCTGGTGAGTCCACCCTCCAAAAACGCAAGAAACTGGTCACCGCTCCTTGTACTCTCCATGGAAGGACTCCAAATTGTGAGTGCTTGGAGAGCACAAAAGCCATTTTGAAGTCCCGGCTTGTCCGCCTAGACTCAAAGTGGACTCTCCTACTCTGGGCACTCATAGGCCTGTCGGCTGAGGACTCTCTGAATAACCGCCTTTGCAGACAAGGAACTCTCATCGACTCTGGCTCATTCATTCATTGTATGTCAAGACTTAGTCGCTTATTATAATTATCAATAAAGATGTAAGGTGACGTGACGAGGGGCAAGATGAGGGGAGATGGCATTAACATTTGTTCCAGCTTCTGTTTATCTTCTTATTCTTGGTCCTCGTTCTTTCATTCTTTCATTCGTCTTTCATTTGAGTTGCAATTGAATGGCATTGTCTCTTCTTGAGTTTTGCATCATGAGCTGACCAGAATAATAGCATTATACAAACACATGTAGACATATATTGTGCAAGAGGAACCTTTATAAGACTTATGCAAGAGAGTACAATTATTTAAGGATGAAAGCTCATTCAATTCGTGACATGGCAATTGGTAGAGGGTCCACCGACAAATAATGCAGGCTGAGGAACCTTGTGGGGGAAAGGGAACGCTGGAGGATAACCGCTCCATTGACAGATGCGCAAGTCAATTTACCATAATTGCCAACCTTATTTGATAAATGTGCTATACACCTGTTGCCAACTAGATTGCATTTGACCTTCCATTCCTACCCCCCGCCTTCCCCGCCCCATTGCCAACCTCCCCCTTGCCACCTCCCACACCCCACTACCAACCTCCCTCTTCCCCCCAGCAAAGTGGTTGTGGTGGTCGCTGTTTTTACTTTCGCGGTGGAACTCCTTTGGACTTGACCCAGACTAAGTCACCTACAGCAAACTGTGATGGTATGATGCTGGGCCTTTCTGATGTTCTCGGTCACGCATTTCAAGTCCTTCTCATATTGTATGGCAAATTCCCTTGTACCGGGCGGCAGTCTCTGAATCTGGTCCGGGTTTAGACAATGAATGGGCTGCCTAGGGCGCCATCCTCTGTGCAGCTCGTTCGGCGTCCAGGATGTAGCTAAGTGCACCAAGTTGTTGTACGCACTTGCTACCTTCAGGAGGTGCTCGTCCCAATCCTCCTGATCTGGTCTAACGTACATCCGTAGCACTTGCTGCAGCAGCCTTGTTCATCTGCTCAGTCTGGCTGCTAGTCTCAGGCTGTCGGCCTAACGACATGGTCAACTTAGACCCGTAGACTTTCATCAGTTGCTTCCAATGCTCGCCGGTAAACCTAGTGTCGTGGTCACTAACTACGGTCAAGGGGTGCCCATAGTCCTTGACCCAATGGTTGAAGAACTCCCTAATCACTAACTTAGTCTTTGCCTGGGCGGGCAACGGAATGAAAACAACATACTCACTAAATCTGTCTATTGTGACCATCACTTGACACTTTCTTAATCAGGCACATGCGGCCTTAGTTTTCTGCTCCAGGTTGGCGCTTGCGACTAGGTTCGTCACTATTGTGCCAAAGAAGTCTGCACGCCTACTCAAGTCGTCGGCTATGACGATATACTTGCCTTTGCCTGGCTTCAGTTCAAAGTCAAATTGGTCGATCTCTGCAGCCCATCTAGTCAATTTAGGGGTCATACGGGCCTGCGTTTTCAACCATCTAAGTGTCTCGTGGCCAGCATACACTTTGAAGTGCCGGCCTCGGAGATAATGTCGCCTGTGGCCTAAAGCTTTTCTAAGTGCATACAGTTCTCTCTCATACGTCGAGGTGGCGACCTTCTCACTATGTAATCTGCAGGAGATGAATTCAACGGGCCTATACCCCACTCCATCATTTTGTTGGAGTACAACGCCAATGCCATATTGACTTGCGTCAGTCGCGAGAGTACATGGAAGAGACGGATATGCTATCTTAAGGACCGGGTATTCGATCGAGCACTTCTTAAGGACCGGGTATTCGATCGAGCTTCTCAAATGCAAAAGTGCAGTCTCTATCCCATTTCCAAACGGTCTCCTTTTTCAGCAATTTACGAAGCGGTGCAGCGATTGTAGTGAAGTTGCGTAAGAACTTTCGGTAATAATTGGCCAGACCTAGGAACGAATGCAGTTCCGTAAGCGTATGCGGGGTCGGCCAGTCCCTAATCATTGCTATCTTTGTGTCCTCCGGTGTAACTCCATCTCCGTCTATGACATGTCCGAGATACAAGACTTGGTGCATAGCCCACTCACACTTCTTTAGGTTTAACTTGAACTTAGCCTTGTGCAATTTGCTCAGAATCAGACGAAGGTGTTCCTGATGCTCCTCTAATGTCTTACTAAATATCATAATAT